TTAAAAGAGCTTTCAAAGCAAGAATGCACGTGCCTCTTGTATCTTGATGAAAGAGGCACATTCACAGCAAGGATGCACGTGCCTCTTGCATCTTCTGTTCATATCCATTATCTCTGTTAGTTTAGAATGTGAGTTTGAAAGATGATGAATAATCAATCATCCGACTCTTCGAACGACGAAATTATAATTTTAATAGTAATTGATATTTAAATAAGTATATTTCTTTTCGCTGACCCAAATAAATTTTAAGTTCATAGTTCTCTTACCTGTCGATTCCAATTTTTGCGCCATGGCCTTCCAGGATTTCTCTTGTTCATCCGTATTTGAGTATTCTTTACTTGTTGCAGGATAGTCTTCAACTGCTTTATGCTTTAAGAAAGGTCACATTGAAGTTCTCTCTATCGGATAACATAGATAAAGGGTGGGTGGGACGTTTTTAATTGGAACAAAATGCCTAATTGCAATATGAAATAAAATTGAAAAGAAACTGTGAGAGTCTCATGAGTCACTGGATTCTAGGAGCTCGCCGTTCTTAGTAAACATTAATCAACTATCAGGCTTTAAAAATAAATGAGGTTAGACATGGAAACGTTGATCATATACGAAGTAATAAAATCCAATGGATGATAAAGTTCACTATATGATTAACTTTATTCATATTTTGTTTACTTTTTTTTTACTAACGATTTATTGCAATTATTGCGATTTTATTTAGAGCAATAGTTTAAAATTAGACCAATTGATAAAAAAATTCTAGTCAAAAGTAAATTTATAAATGGATAAAAAAAAAAGAAAACAATAGTTGAAAATTAAAAAGTAATTGATAGAAACGTCAATCACAAGAGCCTAGATAAAATTGAGAAGGGAGAAGGTAGGCCGAGCGTTGGCGGTGTAAGCCGACCGGACCCAATGATAGCTCCTCAAAAATATTTTGCTTCTGGTGGGCCGGAGTGGAAGGGGCGAGTATGCAAGACCAGCACAACAAAGATACTCGCTAAAGATCTCCTGCACGCTGGATCCCAAGAGGCAAGTGCATCTTCGGTGTGAAACCTCTCGTTCGCTTGCAGTCTTGCATCTTCAGTGCGAAAGGGGCCTAAAAGCGACAAATAAGGCGTGCACATCAAATGAGCTTCATCCCACGGGCGGATCTACGGGTGGGAGGGGGCTTTCGGGCTGAAGCCCCCCTCCCTCCAAAATGGTAAAATGTAACCATGTTTTATGGAAAAAAATATTTAAAAATGATCTCTTAAAGTATTATTGTTAATGTAATCACATATAAAAGGACTTTAGGAATCACTTAAACACCATTTCATCTAGGCAGTTAGTTTATTTCTTTTTTTCCAAAATAATTATCGATATTTTTATGAAAAAAAAGCTTCCGGGCTGAAGCCCCACTCCCCCAAAATTAAATCCTGGATCCGCTAGTGCTTAATCATATTATTTTTCAAACGCCTGCTACGCACCCCTTCCTCTTCTGTTTACATCCTGTTTGTTGGCCGCATGATATATTTCCATTGTACGAAACTTGCCTTCATTAGGATAGGTCACACTATGTCCCTCTCCCAAGCATGTGGTATTCTTTCCTCCTTCCTTATTTTCTAGGTTAGTTGTAATAACTTAGATCTTGGGTGCTCTTTCCTGTTTCGTCTTCTTTGTTGATCGAGGTCCTTGTCATTTCAGTTGTATGTTTTCCTGGATCAAGAAGGTACTTCTTTACTATTATTTTCAGCCTGTCAGTTGTCTTCAATGGTTCACAGCCTTTCCTAGAGAAATTCATTTATTTGTCTTTTTTCTGTCGATTATTTATTTTTCAAAGTACAGAAGTGCCCCTTCCTTCCCCCTAGGTCGATGGTGCATGAAACTTATCACCCAAGATATTTTATTTCTCTCCTCCTCTTAAAAACAGTTCAAGTGAAAATATAATTTAAAAAATGTAGATCACGTATTGTACAATTAAACTTGCTGCGGTCTGTTACATATATTCCCCTTGTCTCATGATTTGAAAGTTTTAATTCCGCAAATTTATAACCCTGTCGAAATTGCAACCCTCAAAAATTCAGAATCCCGTCAAAATGTGTCCTACTAAACAGTTTTGATGGCGCAACTTGCTTTATACCGCCAAAGCACCTCGATCAGTTTGGGCTTGGCAGGCATTCATTTTTCTTATTTCCTTAAAGTTGGTCAATGGTGAGATCAATTTATATAGACTTCAAATTTTACAAGCTAAGGAATCATAAATATGTTTCCTCTCATGAATTTGATAATAAGCAGATGTGTTGTAGTGAATTTGGAAATTAATATATTATCTGGAAGGACCTAGCAAAACCTCTTCCTGTTCTTATTTTGCTTCCTTAATTTAGGAAAAGAGATATCTCTTTCAGCTCCTATAGTTATGTCCATATAGTTCAATATTATTGTAGTTTTGTAGGTGCGTTTTTATTTTTATTTTTTTCTAAATAAATTTATTTTTAAATATGCCTAATAAATACTCGTTTCACAATGATTTGCCACACACTTTTCCATTATCTCTATTGTAAGTTTATTTATTCCTAAAGGTCAAATAACTAACAGATCAGCTGTTTTAGGCTTATTGCCTGTTAACCAATCGGATTGCATATTATATACTAAAGAAGCACTGGTTTCTCAAACAAATTCTTACTGTGTACTTTCCTTTTTTCATCGTTCTCTTTAATTGTTTACGACTTCCGACATTCAAAGTACTAACTAACAAGAAAGGCATGTTAATTAATATGTATAATGAATTTACTATGCAAAGTATCATGAATTCTCCTTGATTTCCAATTCAGGCATCATCAGGACACAAAACATCTGGCACGGTGCGCGCATCACCTAACTTTCACTTACTACCCTCTTCTTAGCAGAAACAAGTATTTTCAGAAAAAGGGGAAGTGAAAGTAAAAATTATAAACGCTATATAGATTGTGGATATTTTGATTTGTTTAATTATTCTTATATATACAAATTTTAATATTTATGTAGCTGTAATCTATACAATTCAATATTAAATAATACCAACGAAAACATTTAGGAAAACCTCATACGTATATCTACATATTATTGTAGGAGTCCGTATTATATTAAGCTCATGTTACTATGGAAGCCTGTTCTAATCTTCGGGCCAGCTCGGGTGAGCTCGGCTGCGCTCGTATCCATTTGGTTCCTTTATAACAATTCTCTGTTACGATCTCTTATTTCTCCTTTAGTTAATTATCGAATTCTTTCATATTTTATATTGAAGAATTTTTTGTATTAGAGATCAATGTGAAATGGTTAATTGTTTCAAATAAAAAAAAATAAAGATACTTTAAAGGAAGCTAATATTGAAAATTAGCCATTTAAGCCCTGTAAGAGAACATCAATGAGAATAAAACCTACATAATATTAAAAACTGCTTAATTTTACACTGATATAATGAATTTAATAAAAATCATTGGAGCCGTTTTCGAGTAAATAGTAAAAATGTGTTTCATCGATGATATAATGTGCCACTTCCGGTTAGCCGATTTTGAAATTTACTGTAACATCTCAGGTATATACAAACCTTAAATATGCAATTTCACTTTCATCCTACTTTTCGTTTTTGAGCTAGGCCCACCCATAGACACTATTTTGCGGAACTTAGTAGAGACCTTAAAACATGTATTTCCGTTGAAAACTCAGATTCGAAAATTTTCACGATCGCAGTACTGTCCCTTGCTATATATTTCATATATAGGTAAGTTAAAGTAAAAAAAAGATCACCTATATGCAGAAAGAAAGATTGAGATGAATAAAGAAATATAGGAAAAGGTGCAGTGGGCGCATCACACAACTTTCACTTACCAACTTTAGATTAAATAGGTATTTTCATATATAGGGCAGTTAAAGTGGAAAAGAAGCTATTACTTAATTTAAAATAATGATGTAGAGATGGTTGGCCGTGATATAATTCTAAAAATTTTTAAAAATAGTCATTTTAATTTAAAATTATTAATTATCAGGTTTTTCCCGCCTATCGAATCGTTTTACGGCAGGGTATAGTATCAAACAATATACTAATGATAAACTAAAATAGTAATGATAGTGATGATTTTTTAAAATTATTTTTGAGTTTTATCGGAAACATTTATCACGAAACTCGTCGAAAAAATAACTAAATGTTAGTAAATATTGTATATATTGTATAAAAAATTCGCGTAAAACCTTTTTAAAAAATCATAGGTAAGTGATATGTTAAAGTTAAACTAACAATATGAAAGCACCGTACAGAGAATCGGGAAATGTCCGGTGCTCTCAGCTGTTTCCGTTTAGCTCCAACCCTTATTTCTCCTTTAGTTATCAATCAATTTTCTTCATTCATTATATTTAAACATTTTTTTATATTAGTTTCCTATGTGAAATGGTTAATTATTTCAAATAAAAAAAGTTAAAGGTACTTTAAAGGAAGAAATTTTGGCATTTAAACTCTGTTAGAGAACATCAATGAGAATAAAACCTTCATTACACAAAAAATCGCTTAATCAACTATACTAAATTTTACACTGATATAATGAATTTAATCAAAATCGTTAGGGCCTTTTTGAGAAAATCGTAAAAATATGTTTCATCAGCAGCGCAAGTGAAAGTAGAATTTTAAAAGCGTAGATTATATACAATTACACTTGCTACAGTCTGCTCCATGTTTCTCCCTTGTTCCCAAGAGACAATAAACAAAAAAACAAACTTTTCATTCCAAAAATATGCCACCCCAAAAATTCAAAACTCAGTCAAAATGTGCCCCTTCTGCTATGAAATTCCCTTCTCGGTACCCCTGACCTGATATGAACCTTTTACATCTAATTATTTAAAAAGTCCAATCTCAATCTTGTGTAAGGCTTTATCATTTGAATTCTATTTCGGCTCAAATTTATGTTGTTTTTCCCCCATGCAAATACCAATTTATTAATGTTTATAATGAATTTGAATTTTAATCTTACTAGCTAATCAATTTTTTTTTCCAGTGTTCATATAAAAGAAAATATTAAGAAATAAAAATGGAAGCATTTTTGAAACTATGTTTCTGCTTTTTGACAGTACTACTCTTTAATGTCGATTTCATAGAGGGTAAGTATTCTATCATATGATCAAAACAAAATTAGATTAATTAAGAGCTAAATTTAATTTTTTACTTCAATAATTTAATTTAAGCTATTGAAGAATGGTGTGAAAATCTGAGAATTAAAATTATCTAAACAAATTGCTTTTATTCTTTGTCGTAAACCTACCTCATCCTGTCCTACATTATCCTTAACAATATTCCACTTCTGACTACTTCAACACATACTTGACAAACGCTCTAAACTTCCAATATTCTACAAAGACTGTCATCATCTGTTCCATTTGGACACATGGTATTGAGCTTTTGGTCTCCACAAAGTCATCAAATTCTTACAATATACATTCCTTACAAACCAATATCTTCCGTAAAATTCACAAGTACTTTTCATGTTTTATATTATTTTAGCGGATTTACTTATTATGTTCATGCATACAGTTGTAAATATCAATAAATGAAAACAAATAATTAAAGAAATAATAACAACATCCATACCTTTGCAAATCCTATCATATTTAGATTATATTATACCCATATACCAGACTGAAACGACTAGAAACTGCCCGACATTTTTGACTACTGCAGCACTTACTAGACCAACGCTCTAAGCTTTCAATCAATTACAAACAACTCATATATATATGACAATAATAAGACATATTTGGACTTACGGAATTGAACTTTGGGACTCCACTAAACCATCGAATTCCTCACGTATCCAATCCTTACAATCCAAAATCCTTCATAAAATCCTCAACTCTCCTTACTTTGTCACAAATAAAATCATCCATAAAGACCTTAATGTTCCATATGTTTCCGATTTGGCCCAATCCAGATACCTATCCTTCCATAACAAACTGCAGAACCATCCGAATCCTCTCGTTTCAAACCTTACTTCCTCCTCGATCCCTGATAACCCTCCAAGGCATCTGAAAAGAAGATAGCCTAGGGGCCTTCTAATATAGAACTTTAATTTGAGTTCTACCAATGGGTAGTTTCTCTTCATGTTGTACATGTCAGTTGTAAATTTCATTAAAATAAAAACATTTAAAAAATAAATTATATTATATTATATCATCAGCACCATGTTAAAGTAACGAATATGAGCCTGTTTAAAGTTGCACATTTGTTACTTTAACTTGCTGCTGACGATGTATGTACTCAAAACAAAGTACATTATACTAGTATTTAAAAATATATATAAACTATTTCAGGTAAAAAACCTGTAGTGACTTGCTACGTGGCAGCATGGGCGGTCAATAGAGGAAAATGGAATATTAGCGAAGCAGACACAAAGCACTGCACCCATATTATATATGCATATATGGGAATGAATGAAAACACTAGTGAAATTATGAATGTAGATCCTTTGATAGATCTTGAAGAAGAGGGGAAAGGCAAAGGTAAGCCCTTTTTAATTTTCTTTTTGAATTATTAAAAATATTCAGAAAAAAAAACTACGGCGTGAGCTTAATAATAAGAAATATACATTTTTTTTTTAGTTCTATATTCATAAAGTTTACAATATTTACAATTATAGTTATCTATAAACTATTTTTGTTCCATGTTCATAAAGTAATAACATTTACAACATATACAATTGTAATTGTCTATAAATTAGTCTAGTAAAATTTCCTAAATATCTAACAAAAACTCTGTTTTTTTAATATTTCCTTTAACGAGGATGAGTAATTTGTCATAAATCTATGGAGTGAACAGAAAATCGTATAAAAACACATAATTTCTTATTTTTAAGGCTAATTAAGAAAAAAAGTCTATATTGCCTTCCGCAAATTGGTTTCTGAATTCTCCACGGTATTTCAATTTTGAGATACCTTAGTCTGAATGTTGAAAACAGTTTTTGTTACTATTTGTTTTCTTGGTGCTATGTTTTCCCGTTTCTGACAGTCTAACTCAGTGTCACATGAAATTACAATTTTGAATTTTAGCCCATTAAAAAGAGGATGAAATGCTGAACATTTTCATTGCAGTCATGCAGGTCCGATTTTTAACTTCTGAGATATTTTAAACCAAATGTAAAAACACTTCAACTCAAGCCGACTTTAGCCAGACGAGCATTACATATCAGAACGTGGCGGCTCAGTCTAATTCGCTAGCCATACAATAAGTGCAAAGTATGCCTAAAGAAGTTTTCATTTCAAAAATCACGTCACAAAACCCAGATGATTAACAGCTGCTAGAAGAAAAATTGAATTTTCCTAGAGGGCTAAAACCTAATCTGGGTCCAGTTTATTGTTATAAACTTTAGAGGAATACCCTCTAAAAACAGTGTTCTTTTTCCTGGAGGCAGAGGCTAAAATAGGAGCCTATCGCAGAAGATAGTTTCAATGAGAATTACAAAATTGTCTGTTATCCTAAGTAAAATGAACCTTGTCTGCCATTCCAGAGCTGCTGCTTTAAAAAATCCGAGCTGATTTAAAGAATATTAGGTCAGTAACTTGAGGATCGAAAAGGGAAATATGTTGCAAAAATAAGGAAAAATATATTGCATTGGATTAAAATATCTCAGAAACCAGAAAGAACTAAGAAGAAGTAAAGAACTTCTTCTGTGTTCTCCCCTTAGATGGCCAGGTGATGGGTGAAATTTAAAAACAATAGCTCAAGACAGATAGAGGTGGAAAAGGCTGGTTCTACAAGGTCCATGAAGGCAAAAACATAATAAAGCGAGTTTCCTTTTCTTTGTAAAGTATGTCATCACGGTATATTAACTTGAAAACAATAAATGGGACCCTATATCCAAGGAAAACAGTCTACAGAATGAATATCCCTTGTTCTAAGAACTCAGGATTATTGATGATGCCTCATTTCCTTAAAGGAAAACTTATAAAATAAATTTTTAAATAACCTTATAATAACACCTTGTTTGCCACCAGATTATATCAAAACAAGCTCTGAGTTTCACTGTATTTTCCTTTTTACTTATTAAAATTTATTTTTATGTACATTTTATTTATTTGTATACTTCTTTTCAACTGTACCCCTGAGATAAAGTACACCATGTCCATTTTTGTATTTGTTCAACTTTTTTCTGCAACTTTGAGCTATTAAAATTTGTTTCTTAGTTAATAAATTATTTAATTAAAAAATGGACATGGTATCCTTTACCTCCGGAGCCCAGATATGTATTTGGCTTTGGGAAGGAGGGAAGGGGTTGAAACTGAGGTAGTCGCCATTGAAGCTGAAGTCATGAAGACACAAGGGATTGATAGAACATTAAATCTTATTTTTACTCTCAGGTATAGTTAACCTTCCGATTTTTCTCATTGTAGCCCAGCTGAAACAGCTTACAGAACTGAAGAAGGCTAATCCAGACCTAAAAATTCTTGCCAGTGTTGGTGGATGGTTGCAGGGCTCAGTCAAGTTTTCTGAAATGGCAAGAACTTCTTCAAAGAGTACCACATTTATCAACAGTCTCATAAAGTTTATAAGGTACTTCAAATTCATTTCACTGTTTCATATCGATTATTTGTAACACTTTCCTCATCTACTGATAATTTATGTTTTCTACTCAATTTTGAAAACTATATTGATTCCTCAGGCAGTGGGAATTGGACGGCATTGACATCTGTTGGCAGTTCCCTGGTCAGAGAGGAGGAAAACCAGAAGACAGGAAAAATTTTGTAAACCTTTTAAAGGTAATCCAATAATATATTAAACTAAATCAACTTTATTTACTTTAAATACTAACGTACTGTGTCACATCGAATGTAAGATGCACTTTTTGAAGTGAAAACTAAGTGCACTTTTTTGTGTGTAGTGAATTAGATTGAACCTTCAGGCTCGGATGTGTAACAGGCTCGTTCGGGTAAGTTCGTTTGAGTTGAATAATTGAAGTGTTTTTGCATATGAATTAAAATATCTCAGCTATCAGAGCTTTCGTTCAAAAGTGTATCTTAATGTGACGCTGGGTTAAAGAGACAACAAGGGAAAACATAGATTCGAAAACCTAATAATAACAAGCTTTGTTAAATATTTATGAATTAAAATATCTCAGAAACTAAAAATCGGACCTGCATAATATAAGCAAGGTAGATTTTCAGCATTTCAATAATGCTGTAATGAACTGTATGAATCAAAATTGCATTTTGACGTGACATCGAATTATGGAGTTGAAAAGGGAAAAAGATATCACCAAAAAAACAAATAATATGACTGCTTTGAACATTTGGACTAAAATATTTCAAAATTTAAATACCATGGAGAATTCACAAACCAATTTTTTGAAATATATATATATATATATATATATATATATATATATATATATATATATATATATATATATATATATATTTTAATTAGCCATAAAAATAAGAAATTATGTGTTTCTATTTGATTTTCAGTTGTACACGATAGAGTTTCAACAAGTTACTGACTTCTGTAACAGAAGTTATAGAGTTTTTGTTAGATATTTAGGAAATAGATTTCAATCAAAAGATCTTATCTAAGATTCAATCAAAGGATTTTAAAAATAATATTAGATCAGTTTCCACAATAAAATTTAAATCTATAAATTATAAATATATATTTTTTTTAAAATGTATACATAATTACTTACTATCTCCTTGTGAAATAAATTAATGGGATTAACTAGTTAATATAAATTATCATTATTTCGCAATAATTAGAAACTGTTCTTATTCCAAGGAAAACTGAATTTGATAGAGTTATAGGTAGAATGAAAACCATCAAATTTAAACCTCTTCTTGATATTACAGTTTAATTAATATGAGTAATATTATAATTCAATTTTACTAAATTATTTCAGGATATCAAAAAAACATTTGTGCCTGAGGGATGGCTTCTCACAGTCCATATCATTGCTCATCGTGACAAAATTAGGTTAGGCTATGATGTGAAATCCATATCAGATGCAGTTGATTATATCAATTTAGCTGCTGTAGAATATAATGGGCCATGGATGAGAAACACAGGAATCATGGCTCCTTTAAATTCAACAGATGGAAATAATGTTGTAAGTGTATTTCTCAGTTTACTCTATTAATATTAAAAAAATTGTAACAATAGAAACTTTATGTAAATTGTATTAATTATATATTATATATTAATTATATTTATATATATATAATCTCATTGAATGTCCAATATTCAGAAATAGAACAGCATATAAGAGGCGCAAACAGAACTTTCTTCTCCCTTTCTAAGGTATTGAAATCCAAAAAAATCTAAAGAAATCAATTAAGGGTGAACAATGCTATGATAAAGCCATTTTTAATATATGGCTACGAGGTCTGGTCACTGACTATCAATCTAGAAAAAAGTATTGAAAGATTTGAGAAAAAAAATCCTCTTCCCTGGGCCGATCTGAGATTAGAGTACTAACACATGAAGAAGAAATACCAATAAAGAGCGGCTTATAGAAAATGGTCAATTAATATCTCATGATATGAAGGCACGGAGGTTAAGAGGGACAGGGCAAGGGAGCAATCCATCTGGAAGCCTTTACACGATAATGATGCCTCAATAGTAGGCAAAAGACCACGTGGAAGGTCAAAAAACATAATATAAATAGATTGAATAGAAAAAGATACAATAGAGCTGCATGCAAGTAACTAGAAAGAAATAGCTCAATATAGTTGGAAATGGAGTAAGCTTGTTAAGGCAGCAAAAGATCTACCAGCTCTGTAGTGCCAACCAACAGAACAAAAAAGATATATATATAAAGTTCATGTTGAATATGATCGTCAATAAACAAAAATATTTACCATATTAGAATAGTCAGTATCTTTGGAATCATATCTATTATAATTATAAATTAACATTAAAATGTATCAAAGTAACAATACTATTTTTAAACAATAATTTATTAATATTAAAATGAATATTTTTTTTTTTTTTGAAAGAATTTAAATAAAGTTTAAAAAAAAAAATCTCTTTTTTTTCATTCTAATGAAATTTGCAATACCATTAATAATTACATTATTACATCAATACTGTAGAATGTATTCTTGTAACAATTGACTTGAAAATAAATTATTTTTTTTATATATTATTTCAGATAGCGAGTCTTGATTATGTACTTCAGAGAGGTGCGAATTCCAGCAAAATATTATTAGGGCTCCCAACTTATGGCCATGCCTACATCACAGATGATAAAATTGAAATTGAAAAGAAGTATATTGGATTACCCTCTGATCATGCATTCCCATCACCGTGGACACAAGAACCAGGAATAATAGCCTACAATGAGGTATTAACATCATAGTATTTATTCTGTAATAAAAACAAGTCTTGAATGGAGCATTTTAAACAAATAGTTAAAAAAGCATTGCCATAAACATAACTCTTATGACTACATGAGAAATTCAAATATCAAATGCTGAAAAACAAATATTTAATTTTAACCATTTTAAGATAAAAAAGCTTTGAATCGTAATTATAATTTTATTTTGACATTGTTATGCAATGTATTTTACTTTAGCAGCATATATTTCCCCCCTCCCCTCTCCTCCCTCCCTCCCGAGAAGATATTTTCTTAAAACTTATTTTTTAATTACAGATATGCTTCAATCTGAAAAATGATAAAAACTGGAAAGAAGGATTCGATAAAAATTCTTCTACACCATTTGCTTATGTGGACAAAATATTTGTCAGTTTTGACAATAAAAGGAGTTTAATTGAAAAGGTAAATTCCCTAACCAATTCAAAATATTACAACACAGATGTGTATGTATATATTATATATATATATATACATTATGACCCTTTATTATAATATAGTTTATTATTTTAATTATTATTCTATATCGTCGGTTTATTGCAAAAAGTCTTAAGTATCATTTCATAACTTTGAATTAGTAATAACTGATGAATTTTCCCTTTGTGAAAACAGAAAATTATGTGATTGTTTTAACTATATTTGATATATAAAAGGCTTTCTGTCATTTTAGTATAGTTACTGTGTATTTTTATTTTTAAATAAAGTCACAATTCACAAACACTCTCTTAAAAGTTTAGCTCCTTAAAAATGTATTTAATTTCTTTTTTCAATTAATCAACGATATTTTATTTTTTTATTATTATTATTAATATTTTTTATTTTTATAAGACATTAACAATACTCTAAACTATGTAAAAAAATCTGGTGCGCGCAACACATAACTTTCACTTACCCCTCTACTTTGAATAGAAATTATTTTCTGGCAATGTTAGGCTATTATAACATTTTTGAAGTGCATTTTAAACAGAGCAAAAGCTTAAAGCTTACAGATAACAAATCATTAAGACCATTAAAATTACAAAAAGTCTATTTATTATATCAACAGTAGGCAATAAAAATCTAGTTTTATAAACCACAGTCTCTGAGGCATTCATCTGACAGAATGGCTTACTCCAATTTAAACATTTTTGAGTAATGTCATTTTAATGATATTTCTAGTTGGAAAAGTGAATTTCTATACAGACGTAAGTAAGTTGATTACAAAGTAGGTGATTGCAGTGTTGAAATATAGAAATGTGAATGAAGGTATAAATATTGCCACTAGAAACATCACTAAAATTAATAATAAAGAATGTTGAAATTGGATTTAGTCATTCTGTCATCTGAAAGGCTAATATGTGTGTAGAGAGATTTCAAAGTACATTTGAATAATTAACCTATAAATGATTATGGATTGTAAGACTATTAGTTATCAAACTGTTATTTTCCATTGTAAAGTTTACTAAAATGAATTTACAAGATTTTCATTGCCTGCCATGGATAGGTCAAAAGTTGTCACACTAATTGTAAATTCATCAAATGATTCACTAATTTACTTTTCTAAACGGTTACTTGATGATTTTTTGGAATAAACGGCCAATAGATACCTAATTATTTAAATAGAATATCATATCTAGAGTTATTAAACGACATCAAATTTATTTGAGGTTATAAACAAATCCATGAAATATTTTTATATTTCACTTCTTCTTTTACACAAGTATAATTAAATAATATTTTAAACAATTGTATTGGCATGATTTGGTGAATTTCAAATACTTTTTTTCAAACTTAGAAAAAAATTTAAATGTTTACATTTTGTGAGAAAATTTCATTGGAAACAAGTGATTTATGTTGAATAGTGTTAGTTTTTTTGAAATTATTATTTATATTATTTGTCATTCTCCATTACCTTCTACAACTTTATTTATTTGATATTAATTATTCTGAAATTCTCCACTTTCCAACAATATATTATACGTATACCTTCTGAATGTTATTTCCGGAAATTCATTTTCAAGCTGGCTAAGTATTTTTTTTTTCTCCAGTTTCCAATTATCATATTCTTTCAAACTTCATATTTAGCCATTTTTAATAGTTACTGTCAGTAAAAAAGAGTTAATTTTTTTAAATAAACCATATTAAAGATACTTTAGAGGAAGATGTATATGAACATTAGGCATTTAAGCACTGTAAAGTAACATCAATGGAGATAAGACCTAAGTGATATTAAAGACTACTTAATTATACAATGATACACCAAGTTTAATCAAAATCGTTAGAGCCATTTTTGAGAAAATTGAAGAAAAATAAAGTTGATATAAAGTGGCACTTCTGGTTAGCCGATTTTAAGGAAAAGGATGCTGTAACATCTGAAGCATAGAAAAACCTAAAATATGCAATTTCACTTTCTTACGACTTTTCGTTTTTGAGCTAGACTGCTAACACACACACACACACACACACACTTGGTTATTTGGACTCAGGAGCCCTCAAAACATGTATTTCTGTTGAAAACTCAGATTAAAAAATTTTCACGATCGCAATACTTACCCTTACTACATATTTTATATATAGGTAAGTAAAAGTAAAAAAATTGATGAAATATAGCAATAACGAATATCATTGTCAAATACTAGTGATGTGTGTGCTAGAAAATATGTTCGCCAATCTAGCCTTAACATTATATTTTATCCTCGTTTTTGCAGTGGAATGTTTCTAAACTCAGACCCCCGCTTTTAGCTAACCCTCCTTCCAACAAATTTAAACCTCTAGATCCGCTACTGATTGTTTGATCTTTTTTGAAGAGAAAAAAAAAATCGACATTGTGAGAGAAATACATAAATATTATTTCATTTACAAGATAATTTAATTTGATAATAAAACTGTGCTTTTATTACTGTAGATTTTGTGTTATTTTTAGGAAATAAAGAGGAGAGGAAAGGTACCATTTTTTATTGTTTCAATAGAGTTCAGAATTAAAAATATTTCTCAGAAAATACTTTGCGACAAATTTGTGTATATAGGGTCCCTTATACATTCAATATTATTGAAGCAATCAATTGTAGAAAATATATTGAAGGAGCCCCTCACAGGTGTCGATTCTATTTCTTCTTTCTCCTAGAAAATAGTAACCTTTTATTTTCCTGAACTTGAATAATAGAGAATTTCATATTACTCTTATTTTATTGGCTATGGCATTAAAAAATAGGAATATATTATAAAAATATCTTCCTATCTTATTATTACAATTAACTACATTTGATTATAAGTCATCTTATTCATTTGTCTATCTTAAAGTATAATACAATAGTTTTTCACAGTGAAGATCATTTTTCGGGCAATATCAAAGCCTTTTTCAAGCAGTATCAAGTGAAAGGGGTTTTCATGGAGCAGTGACAAATTATTTCCATTCTCCCAACATGTCATGAAAAAAGTTAAGAAGAAAAAGAAACTTTATAAAACGTGTTACAAGTGTTTATTTATTTATTTCTTATGAAGGTATTAAATGAAAGTTATTTATATGGTTTTAAAGAGCAATAATTCAGCTTTCCAATGGTTATAGTAACATTTAATTTTTATTTAAAAGACCCCTAAGGCACCGGGACGCGAACTCGTAATTTTATTGTCTCCAACTTCTGTTATCTGATTGTCAGGCAATGCGCAGTGCTGTGCACACACGTTAGCCTGTTCGGCCACCCCGCCACCAGTAGCTCCTGGTCTGTCATGCAATGCCTTATCACATTGGTGTTGCCATCAATTGCTTCCTCAAGCGCCACTCTCCTCTGGACTGTTGCTAATTTCATCCAAGCAGATAATCCACACAAGAAAAGTTCATTCGTTGTCAGTGAGGGGGCAGGAGTAAAAGTAATGAGACTTGGGGTCCCAACAAGATAAAATAGAAAACATATTGTGAATTTATAAGGTTGTAAATCCGACAGGTTAAGTGAAAGGAAAAATTGACTTGACATAAAAAAACTTCAAACTTTACACAGAAGGTATATTTAAAAACCAATTAATTTAATTTTATCTCATTTAAGGCAAAATTGGTGATCTCTCGTCGCCTTGGCGGAATGATGTTATGGTCATTAGATATGGATGATTTCCAAGGTGTATGTCATAATGAAAGCTACCCAATGCTTTCTGCTGTCACTGATTTTCTCATCAGTGAAGAAGAAAAGATTGAAAAAACCTTATTAGGTACAGAGCCATCCGAATCAGAAGATAAACAAGAACACATTACAATTGCACCAGAATCAGCAAATGAAGGTGGAAATCAAATAAAAAAAGTTCAGACAGTTAATATTATAACAATGTTAGTATCCTATATGTTTTATAAGTCTTTATAAGTCAATTTGTAAAATAAGATATGTTATATATATTTTATACTATTTTTGTATATTGTTATTATTTGAAAAAAAAAATAAAATTAAATTAAAAATAGTTATTTACACTAGTCCTTACCAATACAAGTTAGTAAAATTAGATTGTGCACTGGGTGAAATGAAAAACACTTTTTTTGGTGGACAACTTTCCAATAGAATTTTTAAAAGTTGTCTTTTTATGTCAACAAAAAAACTACAAAATTTTGTCGTTTTGTATTTATATCTTGAGGTTTTGCGAGAGACATAAAAATTATGTTTTTTACAACAAAAAAAATCTCTACTTTAGTTTTCCTCTTTTTTTAAAATTAAATATTGTTTTCAATAATTATCAATGGATTCTTAAAACAATGATATGAAAGGTTCCCTAAATTTAGATTGAGATTTTTTGCTAAATTTAAATCAGTAAGCCTAATAGATAGTAGTAATTTAAATACTGGGCCTTTTTAGTTATACTTTAAAATCGATATGTTAATTCTGAGTGGAATTAGTTTATTAAGATTATTTTTTTCACTTTTGGATTGTTATTCAAATAGTTTTTAAATTAATACCTAAAACTGCTGAAAATAACTGAGTGACAATAATAATTATCTTACCAACTGTTTTGGGTTGAGCTAAGTAAAATTAATTTATTATAAAAATTATTATTTAATGCTTACTTTGTTTTAATGACTGATTATTAGTTATAACTTTACCTTAGTTATTTTTTTCTTTTATCGTAGTGAACTGGACCTGTTCATTTCAAAATTGTATCATTGTTTAGAATTTCTTCAGAAGCAAATCACCCGAAACAAGTCGTAAGCTAATTACTATTATTATTCAGTTGTTTTAGATATTATTTATTTTAAGAGTTGTGATTAAACAACAATTTGAAAGTTAAAAAAAGTAATTATAACAAAATTAAGATTTTATCAGGTATTATATATATTATATAGGCCATCAGGTATTATATAGGCCGACTATTCGGCATTGGTAGGATGACTGATCCCAAGGCAAACTAGCTCATCAACCTAACAAGCTTACTCCAGTTCATTGAGACTGAAGAAATTACACTTTAAAAATAAAAGGAGTGACTTTAACAGAGGCGTACAATAGGTCTTCCTGACCGCAGTGCATTTATGCCACTTGGAAAAAAGAAATCGAGTAAAAAGTCCATTTATTCAAATTTTGCATAAAATTGAGCCCGCAAACTTCATTTCATTGATGTAATAATAAAGAAGATTCTATTGATAGTTATTAAAAACAACTTATTAATTTTAAGTTTATTCTACCAACATGTTACCAGAATATTCCTTTTACCTTCATGTTATTATTTTTACTGTTCACTAGTTTCTCATATCTATGTAATCTTTTCTTTCTTTCTGAAACTTGGACTAATATGTCGACAAAAATAAACATAATTTATTTATTTTTACTTTGTTATTTGCTTGACTGAACACCCAAACCAACTTCTCTTCAATATTAAAAACAATATTTGATCAAAAAAATATAAAACTAAACTAGAAAAAATTTAATCCATTTTTTTTTAATTTAAAAACCTTATTATTAAGCCTCTTGATAACCTCAAGATAGAAACAAATATAGAACAACAAAATTTTGCAGAGTTATTCTCGTCCTAAAAAGGCAACTTTAGAATGCTATTAAAATGTTTTCTGGCAAAAAGTGTTTTTCGCTCCACACTACTGAGTACCTCTTTTATTGCATGTTACAAAAAAACAAAACAGTTCCTATGAAGTATTGAAAAAAAATGAAGTAAAAAAACAAAGAAAATAAATCATAGAATAAAATCCTTTTCGTTTTGCATCATTTTTTCATTCGATTATAAGTTAAATAACAGTTTCACAAGATTAAAATAGTTCACTAATTAAGTCAAGCTTTATTTGAGTTTAAAAAGTAGATAATTTTTCAATTAAATAATCAATATTTTAATTAAATTATTTAAAATGATTATTTTCTGTCGAGCATTTGATATACATTCTGAAAACCATTGCTATAATTTTCCTTAATTAAAATAGTTTAATATCTAATAGAATTTATAAAGGATCTAATCTGTTATTTTCATCATGAGGAGTGACACAAGAAATGAACAGCAATAACATAACTGATGAAAAAGATATCAAAACAAAAACAACTGTTATTGTTCTTTTGAGAAAGGTAAGATGGTATTGATTTAGAAAGAATGAAAGAAAAGAGATAAATGAAATTATAGAAATGGAAGTAGTCAGTCTGGCACAGGCGGATCTACGGAGGGGGTGAGGGGGGAGCTTTCGGGCTGAAGCCCCCCCCCCAAAATGGTAAAGAATAATCATGTTTTACAGAAAAAAATATTAAAAACTATCTCTTAAAGTATTCTTGTTCGTTTGATTACATTTAATAGGACTTCAAGAACCACTTAAACACCATTTCATATAGGTAGTTAATTTTTTTCTTTTTTTTTCAAATTAATTATCGTTATATGTATATGAAAAAAAAATCTTTCGGGCTGAAGCCTCCTCAAAATTAAATCTTGGATCCGCTAGTGGTCTATGGGAACCTAGTTCACTAAGACTGAACATGTTCTCAGCAGAAGCTACTACCTTAGAAGTGCTCTCATTATGTAATTACAAGACACCTACCTTACCAGCTTAATTTTTTTTTAAATTAACTCTAAAAACAAATTTCAATTAATGTAATGTTGATATTTGGTTCTTTTGAATAAGTTTCAGGACCACTATATTTATTTTTTAAAAATATATAGATCCTGAACTGTTGTTTTACATTAAATAGAAGGAATTTTGAGTTAAACTAAACTCAGGCCTCTTAAGTAATTTTATTGTAAGGGAAAGAATTATCATTTATCTTTAAAAAACTATATTAAGTCTTCTGTCACAAACGTAGAAAAAAATTTAATAAGAAACTGATTAAATATTCATGTGAAATTTACTGATGGGAAATGTGTAATAAACTTAAATTGAAACTTAGAAACTAACAGTAAATTACATGGATTATTTTTCTTCCTAATGCTTTATTTTATATTAATAATGGATGGATTGATCAATTTATAAAACTTATATTAATAAAAAAAGAACTTACATTTATATATTTATCACAGTTCAGGATTTACAACTCTTCACCAATTACTACATCAATTAAATTGAATAACGGTTAATTAAAGTATTCTAAATCACAGTTCATGGTACAGCCTTACAATACACAGTAGAACCAACCTATGCAGTTGTAACAATTGATTAATTTTAGAGATATTGGGTCCTTTCATATGAAATTTCAGTTTTGACAGAAAAGTTTATTTTGCAAAACAACTTTATGAAATTTAAATATTTACCCTTATTTTCTACTTTTCAATGCCAGAATTGAAAAATCCAGAGTTTTGTGAAGAAATGAAGTTAAAAAATGCATTATTGACCTGAGAATCATTTTAAAATATTTTACGTTTAGGGAGGTTGTTCCAATTAATGAACATATGGAAATCTGTGGGAGATAATTCTGGCGAACAAGATAGGTGTGGAAGGACTTCCTAACACAGCTCGTTTAGTTTCTTCACTCTCTGTGGTCAAACATGAGATCTGGTGTTGTGTAAGAGTATAGGTCCCTTCCGATTAACCAAAGCAGATAGTTTTTTGACAATTGTTTGATGCATTATGTGAATATCATTGAAGTACGATGTGTGGATATGATTTAATTCTGGGTAAAAAATAGAAATGAATTATTCCTGCCATTGAACACCACACAGAAATCCATAATTACTTTTGTTGAAAATTCTTTTCATACCACCGGTGAATGATCCGTTCCTTACAACATCCTTCCTCGAACGCCGTGGTAATGTTTCTTGCAGGCTGTGGAATTTCCAAGTTTAAAATTACTCGAAAATCGCATGTTTCCAACTTATATTATTTGATTACAACTTGTGATATTTGATGGCATACTAAATAATGTGCAATCGATTGGAATGATAGTAAATATTATCAAAAAAGGGAGAATTAAAATGGCTTATTACAGTGCCGACAGACATTCGGCCCCTCGGGCAATGACTTCATCTCGCCTTCTAAAAAAAAAAAACTTATTTCTTAAGCTGTTTTATATTATGTAATATTTGAATTTTATTTCATTCAACATTTCTCTAATACAGTTGCTATATTCATAGACTAATTAATTAATTATTTTAATACATTAATTATTTTAATGTACTTTTTTAACAAGAGACGAGCGTCCCTGAAGATCGGTCGGTTTCTTAAGGCAGACATTGGCTCATTATAATCTGTAAACATAGCATGAGGTACCTCTAATCTATGCACGAGTAGTTGCACACGGCAGCCAAATACAACTAAATATATATATATATATATATATATATATATATATATATATATATATATATATATATATATATATATATATATATATATTTTATTTAAACCATTCCATTATGGAAAAAAAAACCTGTACCACCATAACCTATGAAGGGTCTTAGGTCCATTACTTAGTATTCTGATTCCAGTCATCGTGCGAGGGATTTTCCTCTCAAATCTTTCAACACTTTTTTCTAGGGTGCTGGTTAGTGTCCAAGTCTCACAGCCATATATTAGAACTGGCTTTATCATAGCATTGTACATTCTTAGTTTGAGATTTTTCGGAATTTCAATACCTTTGAGAGGGAGAAGAGAGCTCTGTTTGCGCTAGTTATACGCTCTTATATTTCTGCCCGTTGGTCATTCATTGAGGTTTTGTGGAGCCGAGGTATTTGAATTTTTCTTCTCTCTGGAATGATTTTCCTTCTACGCAGATTCTGTTATTAAAGTGGACTTTTCGGCTTATTATCATTTATTTTGTTTTGTCTTCATTTACTTGTAGGTCGATCTGCTCTACCTCTCTTATCATAGTTGTAGCGAGTTCCTCAATGTCCCCTTGATTACTTCCAGGGACAGCTATATCATCTGCGTATCCAAGGATTTTATGATTAATTCCGACGTGGACCCCTCCATTTTCCTGTGATGTTGCTCTTATCGCCTTCTCCAGGGCAAAGTTGAACAATATCGGTGATAGTCCATTTCTCTGCCTTAAGCCCGTTCGAACTTTGAAGGCTTCAGATACTTCTCTTTGTATTAGGACTATACATTTGGGGTCATTTGTACACGCCTTTGTCAATCTCACCAACTTACCGGAAATTCCCAGTTCAGCCATGATTTTCCAAAGACAGCTCCTGTCCACAGAATCATAGGCTGATTTGAAATCTACAAATATGTCGCGGACGTTCTGAGTTACTTCCCATCGTTTTTCGAGTAGTTGTTTTAGGATGATCTTGCATGCTCTTTCCTTTTCTGAATCCAGCTTGGTGGTCGCCTATTATATTCTCGTAATACGGATATATCCGGTTTAGTAGGATATCGGTCATTATCTTGTAGGCGACCGGAAGGAGTCAGTAATTACAGAGGTAATTACTACACTCATACATGGAGCCTTTCTTTAGGATAGGACAGATTAGGCCCGTATTCCAAGCTCTAGATATCCCTTCCACTTCCCATATTTCCTGGATTAATTGTAGTAGCTTGGCTCTTAAGTCTTCTCCCCCATCTTTAAACAGTTCTGATGATAGGTTGTCTATCCCTGGAGCCTTTCTTGTTTTGAGCTCTTCGATAGCTATTTCTACATCCAGCATATCTAATTTTTCAACCTCTTCTGGATCAAGGTCCTCAGTGAAGTGATTGAGAAGTTCCTGGAAATGTTCTTTCCAGCTGTTCAATATACTTTCTTTAGATGCCGTCAGAATGCCATGTTTTCCTCGCGTCTGCGTATTTCTCGCTTTATATCCTACACTTTCTTTCCCAATGTCTCCGTAGAATTCGCGTATATCTCCAGCCTGCCAGTTGGTTTGAGGAATTCCCTTTTTGCCGATCTTATAGTTTTGTTTGACTTTTTCTTGGCTGTGTACTTCTGTCCTGATTAACTTGATCAGTTATAGTTAGACAGAGGACTTTCATTTTTCTTCTTTCCTCTACTGCTTTTTCGCAAGCTTCTGTGAAGCATATCTTAGCTTTTCGTTTTTCCTGAATACTAATCATTTCCTTAGCTCTTTTATTCCTTTCTCTATTTCCTCCAAGTGTTGGTCCACTGTGAGGCTATCCGAATCCAAAGATTCGAAATTATTTTTCAGCTCAAGTTGGAATTTGGTTTTTACGTCAGGATTTTTGAAATTACGGACTGCATATCTCTTTCTTTCTACTCGATCCTCGGTTATGTGAATTCGCTTCTGAATGAACAGTCTGCTCCACGATAGCTTCTTACATCTTGTATTGAGCTGTGATGTCTTTTGTCTATCAGCACATGGTCAATTTGGTTTTTCGCTCATTTAAGGCTAACCCAGGTGTACTTGTGGATACCCTTGTGTAGGAACATTGTACTGGCGACTACTAGGCATT